TGAGGTTGGCCCAGGATCGGATATTGTTTCGTTCTGCTGTGCATGGGGTTGCTATGAGTCGGTTCCGACTCGATGGCACCTGACAACAACAACAACATCAGCAGCGTTGGAGAGGGGGGGGTCCCAGTCTCCCCATACCCTCACCAGCATTGGTTGTCTTCTGTTTTCTGGAACTTCACTGTTAATGCCGGGCTGAGGTGATTTTTCACTGTTATTTGGATTTGCATTTCTCTAATGGCTAGCGAAGATGAACATTCCTCCATAGGTTTGTTGGTCTCCTGAATGTCTTCTTTACTGAAGTGTCTGTTCATGCCCTCTGCCCACTTTTAAATGGAATTATTTGAGTTCTTCCTGTTGAGACATTGAAATGTTGTATAAATTTTAGACAGTAGTCCTTTGTGTGATAGGTCATTATGAAGCACTTTTCCCAGTCGGTGGGTTCTCTTTTTACTCACTTGGTGAAATCCTTTGATGCACACAAGTGTTTAATTTGTAGGAGGTCCCAGTCATCCATTTTGTCTTCCTTTTTTATGTTTTCCGTTGTCTGATAGGGTATTTATGCCATGTGTTAGCGTGCCACAGTTGATCTTTGTAGTTCAAGACTGTTCACTTAGGTCTTTAATCCACATTGAGTTCATTTTTTACATAGTGTGAGATTTGGGTCTTGTTTCATATCCTACAGATGGATTTCCAGTTTTGCCATCACCACTTGCTGAAGAGACAAGGTCTTCCTTATTTAATGTTTTGATTCTTTGTCAAAGTTCAACTGAGCAGAGATGGATGGATTTACTTCTGGGTTTTCTGTTCTGCTCCATTGATCTGTATGTCTGTCTTTGTACCAGTACCAGGCTGTTTTGATCACTGTGGGTATGTCTTGAGATCATGAAGTGAGAAATCTCCTATTTTGTTAGATGTCTTTAGTAGTACTTCGCTTAGCCATGATCTCATTCTTTTCCATATGAAGTTGGTGATTGGCTTCTTCATATCTTTAAGTCACATCGATTCAGTTCTGACTCATAGTGATCCTCTATAGGGTTTCCAAGAAGCGGCTGGTGGGTTTGAACTGCCAAACTTGCGGCTAGTCAATCTAGTGCTGATCGTACAGTGCCACACCAGGAATCCTTGGATGGTGTGTTGACATGTTTACAAGGTTGTCTTCCTATCCATGAAAGTGGAATATTCTTCCATTTTTGTAGGTCTCTTGGTTTCTTGTGTTGTATAGTTTTCTTTGTGTAGGTCTTTTGTTTCTCTGGTTAGATTTATTCCTAGATACGTCATCCTTTGGGGTGGCTATTAGAAATGGTATCATTTTCCTGATTTCCTTTTCAGAGCTCTCTTTATTAGTTTAAAGGAATTCAACTGATCTTTGTATGTTGATCGTGTATGCTGCCACTTTGCTGAATTTTCCAGTGAGTTCCAATAATTTTCTTGCTTAGTTTTGGGATTTCCTCAATATAGGATCATATCTTATACAAACAGAGAGAATTTTACTTCTTTTTTGCTAATTTGGATGCCTTTAATTTCCCTTTCTTGTCCTATAGCTCTGGCTAAGACTTCCAGGACAATGTTGAACAGGAGTGCTGATAAAGGCACGCTATCTGGTTCCTGTTCACAAGGGGAAGGTGTTCAGTTTCTCTCCGTTGAGAGTGATGTTGTTGACTGTTGAATTTGTATATATGCCCTTAATTTTGTTGAGAAATATTCCCTGTATTCTTATTGTGTTAAGTGTTTTTATCAGGAATGTGTGTTGGATTTTGAAGTTATAAATCTTTACGGGAGCAGCCAGCCACATCGCTCTCCCTCGGAGTGACTGGTGGGTTTGAACCACTGACCTTGCAGTTAGTAGCCCCATACTTACTTCACAGTACCACCAGGGTTCCTAAATGAATACACCAGCTGTTACCTTCTCTTCCAAGCACAGAAAGCCTGTGAATGTCAGGCAAACCGCGTCTTAAAACCCTGGTGGAACAACATTTAAATACTTGATTACTAAGGAACAGAAAGGTCGGTGGTTCAAGCCCACCCAGTGACTCAGCAGGAGAATGATCTGAGGGTCTGCCTTAGTAAGGATGACAGCCTAGGAAACACTGGGGGCAGTTCTACTCTGACCCACGTGGAGTCGCTGTGAGTCAGGACCTCAGGGCTTGGCTAGCAGAGGTTTCCCTTGCTTGTGCTGCTCCCTGTAGGGCAGGCGGGGAACTGCAGAGAGAGAGGCTACTCCAGGCACCTCTACTGCTCCTCTGGCTTCTGATCCGGGACCAGGACAAAATACTGCTGCTGGATGGTGCCAGAGGTTCATGCACTCGGCTGCTAAACCCAGAGGTGCCTCAGAAGAAAAGGCTGGCAATCTGCTTCTGGGGGTAGGGGCAGGATCTGTTGAAAACCCTACAGAATGCAGCTCTATTCTGACGCCCACAGTGTTGCCACGAGCCAGTCAGTCAGTCGGTGATGGTTTGATTTTTTCTAAACCGCCAACCCTGCACCTTGGTGTCATATAAGGCTAGGGCACACAGTAGCCAGGCAGTGTGACCTCCCCACCACGCGGTCTGCATGCAGGTCATGGCGCTGTGGGCAGGCTTCTCACCAGTTCAAGAGGGCATCTTTATATCTGAGGCAGCACTGGAAAGCCTGTGCCTCCCAGCGTGCAGAGGACGAGGCTCTAGGCATAAAGCAGGTGCACCAGGCTTCTGTCCACCTGGTGTTTCCTGTGGCGGACGCTCAGACTGCCCTCGCTGGTCTCTGTCTTTGTCACATGTCTATTGAGACCAACTTACTTTGATCAGTCTGGAGGTGAACTAGAATAGAAGGGTGTTTCAAAGCGTGAGGACCTTGCACCATTTCATTATTTGGGGGGATGGGGTGGGGAACGTTTGTCGCTAACACTCAAAAACATCTGCAGGGAGCAGGGAGCACCAACACAGGCATCTCATTGCAGCGTCTTGACCATCGTCCTTGTTCTAGACACGTTTGCCTTGCTTTTAATATGTGAAGTTCTGCCCTTTCCTCCTTCTTCCTACTGCAGATAGCTGAAACTTCCACCTCTGGTGTTCAGCAAGCTTGCTCAGCATGGATAGGTTAAGAATAATGTTAGAAAATCACTTTGTAGTCGGCCTGCAACTCTTCAAGTTTTTTCTGAGAGCATAACATGTCTGAAAAGTATGAAGGGAAACATGGAAACTAGAGTTTTAAGGAGCTAACAACATGCCTTTGTCCAACATCTTATAAAATTTAGACTGTTAGGACATACTCTAACCATTAGCATTAAAGTCCCCAACAAGGCATTCATTAAAATATCGTCAAGTCAAATGGAATCCCTGGTGTTAAAGCGATGGCACTCACTGATAACCAAAAGGTTGGAGATGTGAGTTTCCCCAGAGGTCTCAGAGGAAAGGCCTGCAGATCTTCAGAAAAATGAGTCACAGGAAACTCGGGAGTGTTCCACTCTGACACACAAGGGGGCGCTATGAGTGGTAATCCACTAGACACAGCTGGTAGTGGCCATGTCTAAAGGTGCTTCAAAAAGTTCATGGGAAAATAGAATGGAAAGATACTAGAGTTTTCACCTGAACTTTTTGAAGCCCCCTCACATGCAACATTATTATCATTTTTCTCTAGGCCTAATCACAAAGTTCCACATACTGTGGTTTCTCATGAGGTTTCGAAAATAAGCATTTGTATTTGTGATACGTCCACAGAATCAACAGAATTAATGTTAGGCACTTTTTTTTTGCTCTAAATCTAAACCGACACCAAAAGCCCACTGCTGTTGTATTAATTCTAACACGCAGCAACCCTGTATAGGGTTTCTGTATGGGAGCAGACAACCTCACCTGTCTCCCGAAGAGCGGCTGGTGGGTTTGAACCTCTGACCTTGCATTTAGCAGCGTAACGATTTCCCCCACTTCAGCATCAGATCTTCCTTTCCTGGAAATGTTACTATCGCCGTTGTTAAGTGCCGTTGAGTCGGTTCCAACTCAGGGTTGCTGAGGAGCAGCTGGTGGGTTTGAACCACCGACTTTGTGGTGAGCAGTCCAATGTTTATCCTAAGCACCACATCAGCACTTTCTAAAAATAGCCTTATTTAAATCTTGCGCCTTCATGATGAAGTAGATGCCCACTGTGCGGATGAGGTCATGGACTCTTGGCGGCGTTGTTAAGGAACTTGTTTTAAAAAGCAAAGGAACTATGTAAGATACACAAGAGAGAAGCCGGGATGCTGGCAATCCACTGTGATTCCGCCCCAGGAGATGGCTTCAAGAGCTTACAGCTCACCATAGCGAGTATTAGACCCAGGTCCCCTCTCCTTACCTGCGTGGGGACCAGACTGACCCGTTGATACCTGGTTCCCGTTTGTCCAGCCTGTTAGACATAACGACTCTAATGCTATGAACTCATTCTATCCTCAACCCCAGGAAGAAGACGAGGTCCCGGATGATGAGACGCTGAACCAGATGATTGCTCGGCGCGAAGAAGAATTTGATCTTTTCATGGTAATGCTGCATGAGTGCCCCCGCTCCCCCCGCCCCTCTTCTACCCTCACAGACTGTTTGGCCCACGCTCTGGCTGAGCCTCATTTCTGAAGCCTGTGCCCTTTTTTACGGCTCAGAGGCTGCAGATGAGCTGGATTTAGCCTGCAGACCTATTTTGTTTGGCCAGTGTGGTATTTTTTTTTTTTTTCTTTTCTTCATAAATTTTTAATTCATTGCCAACAGAAAAAGAACCCTGGTTTCTGGCTGCTTTTGGAAAATGAGATTGGGCAGAGCCAGGCTCTCAGATCTGAGGAGAGACAATTGGTTGAGCTGAGCAACAGCTGTGCCCCATCCACCCAACTCAGGTCATATCTCAGCCGGGGCCAGCGTCAGTCTGGAAAGCTGGCTGACCCTTAGAGACCTGTGATCTTACAAGGCTGCGCTGGTTTTCTCCTTACTGGTCCCGATGGAGAGATGGGGTTCCCTGGGCCATGTAAGGGTTGCTGTGCACAATTACTAACCAGAGAGTTGGAAGAGAGGCCTGGAGTTCTTCTTCAGTCTACTCCCCCAACATCAGTCATTGAAAACTTACGGATCCCAGTTCTACTCTGACAGTCTGCGTGTCCGGCGTTCAGAGTCGAATGATGGCAACCGGTGTGTTGTTTTTGTTGGGGTGGGGGGGGATGGGGGGGAACGTTGGGAAGACTCCTGAGTGGTACAGACGGTGTGTGCTCAGCTACTAACGGAAAAGTTGCCAGTTCAAACCCACCCTGTGGTGCCCGAAAGAAAGGTCTGGTGATGAGGTCCGTGAAGATCACAACTCAAAACCAGCTTGCCGTAAACATACCTCGAGTGCAGCAGGTTTGGGGTTTGTTTTTGTTTTATAACAGTGGGAAGGTGACAACAACAACATAAACACAACTGTGTTCTTCTAGGTGTCAAAGAAAGCCTGTTTAAGCAGATAGGAGCTTGGAGGTGTGTGTAAAGATGTAGTTGTTAAGTGCGACTGCGTCGGTTCCGAATCACCGCGAGTCTGTCTCACAGAGTACAACTGTAGCGAAGGGTCTTCTCCAGTGTCGTCTTCATGGGAGCGGATCAGAGGATCTTTTTCCCATACAGCCGCTGGTGGGTTTGAACCACTGACCATTTGCTTAGCAACTGAGCACTTTAACGGTCGTACCACCCGGGCTCCTTTTGTATCCAGGTCTTTACTAAAGACCACATGGTTGGATCTCACTGGTGTAAAAGGATGTTGGCGTTCTAGTGTCTGTGGTGTCAACCTTGGTGTTCTGTGACAGGTAGCCATCTGGGACCTAGATTTGACTGATGTGCTTGCTGCTCCGGGACACCTGCAGCAAGCCCCTTAGCTGGAGAGGGTCTGCGGAGACTCTCGGGAACAATGTGGACCACTGTGGTTTCCTTGTTTCTCTGTCTTCCCAACACTCACAGTGGTCCCACATAACCCACTGCCCTAAATCTATTCCGACTCTCACATATGCTCTCAGACAGCTGGACTGCCCTTAGGGCTTCTGAGACCGTAAATCTTTCGAGGAGCAGAAAAGCCTCATCTTTCTCCTAAGGAAGCTGGTGGGTTTGAACCACTAACCTAGCGGCTAGCAGTCCAGTGCTTATCCTGCAGTGCCTAGTAGCTGCTCTTTGAGTACTTACTGGATAATCCCAGGCTTTGTGGAGGTGTCAGCTAGATCAGATCTGGATTATCAAATTGAGAGTCTCCTTCTAGTACCTGTAGCCCCTTTAATCTTCGTGACGTTTAGTCTGATTGTGAACCAAGTGAATGTGTCAGCTGGGACTCTGGTTGGGGACTACAACAAAGGCCCGAAATAAGAAGTCTCTGATTTGAAAGCATTTCAAACTCAAACCAGGTCCCTGGGTGGCCCAAACAGTTTGGGCTCAATTACAAACTGAAAAGTTTCCAGTTTAGACCCTTGCAGCAGTGCCGCAGAAGACAAAGCCCGTCAGTCTTGTTTCCCTCAGTCCGGCACAACCAACCTGGCTCACTGCCCTCACTTCGATCCCGACTCATAGGGACCCTAAAGGAGGGTCTTTATGGGAGCAGACAGCCTCAACTTTCTCCCTCGGAGCCACTGATGGGCTTGAACTTCCGATCTTGTGGTTAGCAGTCCAGTGCTTACTCCACAGTGCCACTAGGGAGCAGTTCTCCTCTGCACACACCAGGTCACCCTGACTCAGAATCAGCTTGACGGCAACTAACAGCATCAGGATCTCAAACAAGTAAACACAAGATGAGGCCAGTGGACAGGTAGGCGTGGCCGGAGGTGCATTGTCTCTGTGGACCTGTGTCACCGGAAGGAAACGCCCGTATTTCAAGTGATGGCTGGAAGTCTAGGTTTTTATACACCATCTCTGAATTTCTAAAAGTTTTGCCTTCCGATCTTTATGATTATGTAACGCAGTACGGCTGGCCAAATGTGACCCAGTGGTTTGCAGTCCTGGCCCTTGACCTTGACAGCTGTTTGAGGTGTGAGCTCTCTGTGATGTCTACGGGACACAGGCTGCATCCGCATGTAAGGATCCCAGAAAAAAGACACTGAGGTTTTCCCTAGGAAACTTACCTAGAGGTATATCCCCTAGCCTAGGATGTGTCTCCCCACCCACTCCTGTCCCCAAACAAAGTCCCCTAATAGATCCCTGGGTGGTAGAAATTAAGTGATCGACTACTCACCAAGAGGTTGGCAGTTCCAACCTACCCAGCGGCACCTCAGGAGAAAGGTCTGGTGACCTGCTTCTGTAAGACTCACTTTGAATACCCTGTGGAGCACAGCTCGACTCTAACACACGGGGTCAACAGTACACCACAACACAACAACACCCATTCCTCTTGAGTGGATTCTGACTCATAGCGACCCTCTGTAGGGTTTCCAAGACTGAATCTTCACTGCAGCAGACAGCCTCAACTTTTCCACATCTGACCCTGCAGTTAGCAGCCCAGCGCCTACCCCATTGCGCCACCAGTGCTAGCAGCTCTGGTCCAGTGAGCTGACAGGTAAGACCCTGTTAGAGACAAAGGGTGAGGCAGCGTGCATGGTCAGTGTAGGGTTTGTATCAGCCCAGATGTTTCGTTTGTGCTTGTTGTCCACACATTTATGGATGATTCTCTTTTTAGGGGTGTTAGGGATCCCCCAGAAAACAAACAGACACACTTTCCTTGGGGAGATTGTTGACACATGCATGACTGGGTGACCAGCGAGTCCCACGGCTTCCTGGCTTAGCACCTATTGGCAATAACTCCACTCCCCCATCCTTCCAGACCCTCTGCAGAGTCTGTGGAGGATAAACCACGTGCCGTTATATAGATTACATCCCTGCATCCCAGACCAGCTGCAGCCCCTACAAAGCCCCTTCAGACTTGGGGCTGGGTCTTTGTAAGACCTGAAAGCGTCAAGAAAACGGCTTTTACCACGTGAAGCAGGATAGGCTGGTTAGGAAACACCTTATTGTAGGCACTGAGCCCTTGTGGCACAGCGGTTAAGTGCTCGACTACTATCTGAAAGGTTGGTGGTTCGAACCCACCAACAACTTCTTGGGCGAAAGAATGTGTCCGTCTGCTCCAATGAAGGTGACAACCTTGGAAACCCCACGGGGCAGCTCTACTCTGTCCTCAGAACCATCTCAGTGGTATAGGGTTTGTCTTTAGGTTGTGCGTCTACGAATTTTCAGAGTTGCTTTGGAACACAAGGTTGGCAGTTCAAGCTCACCAGCTGTTCCTTGGAAACCCTATACAGGGTTGCTATGGGTCGGAACCAACTTGTGGGCCCTTAACAACAACAACATACTAAAGGCTAACTTCTAATTTTTAGTTTTGTATATTATGGGGTTTTGTTTTGGTTTGGTGTAATTTCCTATTTTTATATCTTCCTCTGCTCTGTGGGCTGTCTTTTGGCAAATTCACTGTTCGTTAGCACCTCCACCAGAGGGCAGGAAGAAATATGCAAGTCCTCCCCTGCTACATTGTGAAAACTTTGTGAGAACCAAGACAGGAATGTCAGCTGGACTAAGTCTTTGGATTTCAAATATATGAATGCTTTTCCCATGATTATTATTTTTTTAATTACATCTGATGTAAAATTAATACAAACTTGGTCATTGGTTTTCTTTTACAGATACTGTATTTAAACCACACATACAGTAACTAGTCTCCTTATAGTAAAACCATTCTTATAGGCATTTTTTCTTGCTTTTTCCTTCCAAAAGTATGCCTTCAGAAAAAACTAGCTTCTGTAGTCATTACTGTGGTTGTTATGTGCCATAGAGTCAGTTTTGACTCATAGCGACCCTGTATAGGGTTTCCAAGGAGATGCTAGTGGGTTTGAACTGCTGAACGTGTGGTTGGCTGTGCAGGTCTCCTGCGCCACACTGGGACTCCATAGTTGCCTGTGAATGTACCTACAACTATTTTTGACAGTCCCAGGTACCTATCAGAAACATTTTGCCGACCGTGCAAACAAACATGAAGCTTTTAACTGTTTTGGTCTTTAAAAGGTTAAGAGGTACTTTTAAAAATAGCGTTTTCTTGTTACAGACTTCAATCAGACTTCTTACTATCGTAAGACTACAAAGGCCAGTAACACAGCCTTTTTCCTTAGCTTCAACATCAATTTAGGATTTCACATGAGCGGTCTTCTGGTAGTAATGACGGGGAAGGGGGAGCAGTCAGCCAGACTTGGTGTTGGTGTGGTTAAAGTGCCATAGAGTTGGTTCTGACTCATAGCAACCCTATATAGATCAGGTCTTCCAGAAGCAGCTGGTGGGTTTGAACTGCTGACCGTGTGGTTACCAGTCCAGCGCTGATCCTACAGTGCCCCACCAGGATTTTAAGCTTGCCTTGTTGAGTTGTGGTGTCACCTGGTGATGCTCCGAATTCACAGGCTCCGCTGATCACTGAAAGATGGGAGGTTTGAGTCCACCCAGAAGCACCCCGGAAGAATGACCTGATGCTCAATTTCCAAACCAGAGCGCACAGCTCTACTCTGACACACACACACACACAAGGATGCTGGGAGTCAGAATCACTTCAATGGCAAGTGGGCTGGCTGGGGTTGATTTGGAATCTGTCATGGCTCTCCAGTGTTGTAGCAGAAATACCACAGTGAGTAATGCTGAGGCATAGAAATTTATATCCTCACAGTTTAGGGGCTAGAAGTCCGAATTCATCTCTCTCTCTCTCTCCTCTGAAGGAAAGGCCCCAGGTTCCTAGGAGATTCTCATTCCATCTTCCCCCACCTCCACTGGCTTTGTGTTTCTCAATCTGCTCCTTTTATATTCTAAAGAGATTGACTGAAGACACACCCTACAACTATACTGCTTCCTCCACATAACAAAGAAAACCCATTCCCTAGTGGGATTCTCAAAACGGTATAAAACCAAACCAAGCTCACTGCCCTCCTGTAGATGCCAACTCATAACTCCCTGTAAACAGTTCCCCAAGGCTTCCCGTCTTCACTGGAGCAGCCAGCCTGGTATTTCTCCCGAAGAACAGCCAGTGGGTTTGAACTTCCAACTTTGCAGTTAGCAGCTCAGTGCTGAATCCAGAGGCCTCCTTCCCTAAAAGGTATAAGGGTTGGTTTCTAATACATATTGTGGTGGTGGTGGTTGTTAAGTACTGTGGACTCGGTTCCGACCCATAGTGACCCTGCACAGGGTTTCTGAGGCTGTAAATCTTTACGGAAGCAGAACGCCTCATCTTTCTCCCACGGAACCGCTGGTAGTTTCGAACTGCTGACCTTGAGGTTAGCAGCCCAATTCGTAACCACTACACTACCAGAGCTTCTTGTGGTGATGTTGCTGCTGCTGTATGCTGTGGAGTTGGTTCCGACCCATAGCGACCCTGTACAGGGTTTCCGAGGCTGTAAATCTTTATGGGAGCAGAAAGCCTCATCTTTCTCCTGCAGAGCAGCTGGTAGTCTCGAACTGCTGACCTTAAGGTTCGCAGCCCGGTTCATAACCACTACGCTACCAGAGCGCATACTGAGTGGTTTTTTGTTGTTATGTGCTGTGGAGTTAATTCTGACTCATAGTGACCCTGTACAGGATTTCCTAGGCTGTAAATCTTTACGGGAGCAGAAAGCCTCATCTTTCTCCCATGGAACAGCTGGTAGTTTCGAACTGCTGACCTTGTGGTTCACAGCCTGATTCGTAACCACTACACTACCAGAGCTCCTTATAACAGGGGTGGTGGTGATTAAATTCTGTCTAGTCAGTTCTGATTCATAGCTACTCTGGATAGGGCTTCTGAGGAGCTGCTGGTGAGTTCGAAGCGCCAAGCTTTCGGATCAAACCGACCATGTGGTTGAGTGCTTGTCCTACAGGGCCAAACCAGGACTTTGGGGGCGGGGGATTCAATCCATAGCAGTATTACTTTGCATCTTTTGAAATGGAAAAGGGAGAGAAAAAAAGCAAGTTGGTTATCTGCGTTTGCATGAGAAGAGATTTGTTTTCTCCTCCGTGTGCAGTTGTGTGGTGTAAGTCATTCTGCAGGCCTGGACATAAGGCATGTTTGCAGTATCACCAAAACCAAAAATCGCCCATTTTGCTGTCTCAGTGCAGAGCTCAGGAAGGCGTTTTTCTTTTCTTAGTCACTCAGCTACCTCCTAAGGTCCTGCTGTCAGCTCAGCTACTAGGGAGATGTGTGGGTGCTGAGAACCCCTGGGTGCAGTGGTTAAGTGGTTCAAACCCACCCGATGCTCCAAGGGGGAGGATGCCTGAGTAAAGATGACAGCTTTGGAACCCCATGGGGCAACTCTGTTCTTCCCTATAGGGTCTCTGTGAATCAGAACTACTCATAGGCAACGGGTTTAGGTTTTCTCTGTGCTAATTACAGAGGTTCAGTGGTTCTTGGTTCTGACCCCAGAGCTGAGGAAGGCAGGACAAGGTGGCACACACAACCACGCCCCATGCCCTCCCCATCCGGGAAATGGCATCATTTAGGAGCCTTGGTATGGCACTGGAGGATAAGACCTGGGCTGCTCACCACAAGGTCAGTGGTTCAAACCCACCAGCCGCGTCTCAGAAACCCTCTATAATATTGCTATGAATTGGAACCAGGTCGGTGGCACTTAACAACAACAACAAGGGACTGTGGGTTGTGTTTTTAACTGCATTTTAAAAGTCAAATTTGGGTCATTGGGCTGCTGGTGTTCCAGACCCACCAGCCACTCCTTGGACACCCTGTATGGGGTTGTTAGGAGTTGGAACTGACTCAACAGCACTTAACAACAACAAGTAGATATTTCATCCTCATCTTGTTATCATATTGTTGTTGTTATGTGCCATGGAGTCAGTTCCGACTCACAGCGACCCTGTACAGGGTTTCCGAGGCTGTAAATCTTTACAGGAGCAGAAAGCCTCATCTTTCTCCCGCGGAACAGCTGGTAGTTTCGAACTGCTGACCTTGAGGTTAGCAGCCCGATTCATAACCACTACACTACCAGAGCTCCTTTTAGCCTTTAGTAAAATACAGTGTGCCTTCAAACATGTGGGAAATATCCCATTACCTTTTCATTCCATTTGTCTATGAAATTTTGGAAGCCCTGTTTTGGAAGAGTAGAGCTTGAAGGAAGAGGGAAACAGAGTTTTATGGATAATGGTCTATTGGATGGTGGCAGTGCTACATCTGTGGTTGTTAAGTGTCATCGAGTTGATTCCAACCCATAGTGACCCTGTATAGGGTTTCTAAGGAGCAGCTGGTGGTTTTGAACCACCGACCTTGTTGTTTGCAGTCCAGTGTTTATCCTTCAGCGCCACACCGGGACAGCATGGTAGATCTAACCAGTGGTGTATCGAAAGTCATCGATGGAGGTTTCATTTACTTTTTTCAGCTCTCAACTTGTTTTGTTATAGAATCAGACAGGGTATGTGGCATTTGCTTTATTTACACACAAAGGAATTTTACAAAGGGAAAAGGAGCTGGGGAAAGAGGCGTTTAGGGAATTGTCCTAACCTGAAGGCTTTGGACAAAGCCACTTCCTTTATCCCTTCATCCTGGAGATGAGATGTCTGTGAGGGGCCTCTCTGTGTGTGGCTTGCTGTTTTCATACAGGGTGAAGAGCTGAGGATGATGCTGAGAATTCAGCACCATCACGGCCAAACCACCATGTGTGCACTCCCGAGTGTCCCACTGTGCACGACTCCTCTGGAGACACTGATGGGGCACTGGTTTTGGTAGTCCTGGTTGTTGAATTAAAAGCACGAGCCAGGGGATTAAAAGGGGCGTTTTCATTCTCATTGATGTGCTTGAAGACTTTCTTCCAGGGGAAGTTTGTGTGGTTTCACAGCCCTGTCCCAGTTTGAATTTACTCTCACGCATTCCTACAGAGGAGCCCTAGTGATGCAGTGGTTTAGCAGGCATCTGCTAACCTCAAGGTCCAAGGTTCGAACCCACCAAGGGGCTGCTCCACAAGTGAATACACCTGGCAGTCTGCTCCCCTAGAGATTACCCTCCACCTTGCCTTGTGGATTCCAACATGTAGTGTGAGCCTGTCCCACAGCGTAGAATCGCTCCCTACCGTTTTCCTTATCTCAAGGAGCAGCTGGTGGATTTGAACTTCTGACCTTGGGATTAACAGCCATGCACTTAACCAACAGTTCCAACAGGGCAACAAAGAAGGCAACCTGGGCAGGACACCTGGGGCAGTTCTACTCTGTACTACAGACTTGGAATCAATTTGACAATAACAGGTGTTGATGGGTATTTCTTAAGGCAGAGTTTTGTGCATATGAGCACCAAGAGAAGGAATTCTTGAAAAAAGAGTATTTGTAAATGAATACGCAAATTCCCAAAGGCAGGAAGGGGGTAGAATCTTTGCTAAGAACACTGTTTTAGAGGCAAGCTGAAATTTGTCAAGCAGGTTGAGGGGGCTTCATGGAGAATATGTTGTCCCTGAGGTAGCACTCAAACCCACCCAGAGGCACCTCGCAAGAAAAGCCTGGTCATTTGCATCCAAAAAACCCCGTGGAGCACAGTTCTACTCTGACATACAGGGGGACAGATGATGGTGGAGCACAGTTCTACTCTGACACACAGGGGGACAGATGATGGTGGAGCACAGTTCTACTCTGACACACACGGGGGCGGATGATGGTGGAGCACAGTTCTACTCTGACACACAGGGGAACAGATGATGGATAGGAAAGGTACCCGGCAGCCTTTGGGGGTAACTTGTGGGCCTCGTGTGCCATCCGTCTACACTGTAGGGACCCTCCCTTTTCTCTTCGATGACACCTTTGTTCCTGCCCCCAGCGTATGGACATGGACCGGCGCCGGGAGGATGCTCGGAATCCAAAGCGTAAGCCTCGCCTCATTGAGGAAGATGAGCTGCCCTCCTGGATCATCAAGGATGATGCTGAGGTCGAGAGGCTCACGTGTGAGGAAGAGGAGGAGAAGATCTTCGGCAGAGGGTCTCGCCAGCGCCGGGACGTGGACTACAGCGACGCCCTAACCGAGAAGCAGTGGCTGAGGGTAAGTGGAACCCTCCTCACTGCTCTTTCTGGAAGGAGCATTCTGTGGGCACCGAGAAAGCGGGAAGCTGGTGGTCCTATAGGGGGACACCTGGCCCATTAAGCAAGTTTGTGAAGATAGAGTTGTTCTGTGCCAGCGGTGGAGCCATTCAGGGCAATGCTGGCAAAAATATCATGAAGGATTTCTACTTTTGTTTGCAGAGTGGGGAGCAGAATTGGCCTTTGGAAGCACAGCTTTATTAGGGCCAGGGGACCCACTCATGTTTTATGACAAATTGCCTGGTCATACTTCAGTCCCTCAAATGTAGAGCCAAACGTGCAAGGGGGCCTGGAGAGTTTTGTAATGATTTCCCGTGACTCATTCCTCGGTGTTTAGTTGGGGTCTTTAGTTTCTCGAGGCCTGTGGGGTGCAGGGGCACACGCTGGCTGTGTGACTTCGTGGGTCTATAGAACTTTCCAGCTGGAAGGTGCCCTTTTGTTCTCTGTTGGCTATTTTGTTGTTGTTGTCAAGTGCCATCGAGTTGGTTCCGACTCATAGTGATCCTGTATAGGGTTTCGAAGGAGCGACTTGGGCGATGGTGAGTTTAAACTGCCGACCTTGTGATTCCAAGTCTAGTGCTAATGCGACAACACCAGGTATCCACACAAACAAGTAGACTCACAGATCTGTTCTTTAGCCTGCACATTGAGCCCCACGGTGGCACAAACATCCTCCACCTGGAGGCACTGCGGAGGAGAGGCCTGGCTGTTTCCATTGTTTTACAGACAAAGAAATTGAGGCTCAGGAAGGTTAAGAGACTGTGCATAGAAACCAAACCCGTTGTCATCAACTCGATGCCATCTTAGGGCAGAGTAGACCGCTTCCACAGGGTTGTCAAGGCTGTGACCTTTCAGGAACCATTAGCCAGACCTTTCTTCCAAAGCCCTGTTGAGCCTTCATTTCATACTTGAGTGCTTACCCATTTGTCCTGGAGTCTCTTCTGCCTCATGGCGTCCCCAAGTGTTACAGACTGGAACTGTATTCCTTAGGGTTTTCAGTGGCTGGTTTTCTGGAAGAAGATCACCAGGCCTTTCTTCCGCAGTCCTCTGGGTGGACTTGAATCTCTAGCCTTTCAGAAAGTGGCTGAGCACCAAATGATTTGCTGTGGGGTTCACTGCACAGTCTAGAAAAAAACAGGTCAATGAATCTACACTTCGTGTGTACAGTTCTAGTTTAATCTGCCTCTTTGCCAATGCAGACTGGAGCCCAGGACTCAAGTCACCCACACATTTGGGAAGGTTATCCTGTTGTGGTTTTCTTTCAAAAAATGTGGTTTTCAGGTTGTGACTTGAAATCCCAGGATGCTCCCTGGTGGTCACAGCAGTGTCCACACGCTCACGGGAGCCCCTGGTGTGAGCTTCGAGGCCATTTGAAGGCTTAGTTCCACATCCCTGGGACCTGAATGGGCCAGGCATTCCAGACAGGGTCTCGAGAGATTCACTGGAAACAGCATGGAATCCGGTGAAAGCTAGACAAGATAGTGGCGGCTACTGTGAGATTTTCGTTTTGTCCAAAGGGAGCTTAATTCCCAGGGTGCATCAGATAGGCACCTTAGGACCCAGGCTGTCAGCGGAAGGTGGGTGGGAGGCAATGGGAACTATCTTGAGGTTGAATAGCAAAGGAAAGCTGCCCGAGGTACCACTTGAGATGTGATTCTCTCAGTCAGGATGGCGTGTGATGAGAGGGATGTGATTTGAATTCCGAAGAGATTGAAGCCTGCAGGATTGTGCAGAGACAGCTGACAGAGAGCCCTTCTGACTTACGGCGGAACAGTCCTGCGCAGGACGTCACTGTCTTCTGATTGTCATGCTCCTCAGAGCCAATCAGACATGTCTGTGGCTTCAGAATATGGTTTTATGAACCTCCTTTGTTTCTCTGTAGTGAGGTGAACATTGTATCATTACGATTCGTTGTATAATGTGAGGAGTTTTTTGTTTGTTTTCGGATTCATCATTTCCGAGGTCGGGGACATTCCTTTCCCTTTACTTTTTAACAAAGCAATCAGTTAAGTACCAGGAGTCTTACTATGATGTGCAGTCAGGTAACGATGGAGCCCAGATGTTTAGAGCCAATTTCTGTAACTGTAGTCTCCAGCAACATCATCTTGTTTATTTTGTTGGAGTGTAGCTGAATTTAATTTTTTTTTGATAATCATTGTTAAGAAAAATAATATTACGGTTCTTAACAAATTTTCAAGTTTCGGGTACCTGATTTTTTTCTCTCTCGGTTTCTCTCTCTCTCACTTTTTCATTCAGTTTATATCACTAATGATTGTACTAATTGGAGACTCAATCAAAGTCTGTGAAAATACAGTAGAACTTTGTAAGCAGAAATGGAAGAATGCTAATTTGCCGATAATGTTAGGTTACCATTTCCATTGTTATTTCAGCAAGAAGCTGTCCTATTATCTGTGACATATATAAGGGCATCCCAGTGACTGTGCTCAGCTGTTAACAAACTCACCCAGAAGATCTGCAGAAGAAAGACCTGGCTTTCTGCTCATGTGAGACATCAGTGTAGATAAATCATATGGGATGCGTCTGTCCAATAGGGTTCCTGTGAGTCAGATTAAACTTGACATCACACATCAATAGGACATGTTATTGTTGTTAGGTGCTGTCGAGGTAGTTCTGACCCATAGTGACCCTGTGCACAACAGAACACAACACTGCCCATTGCTGCTGCCGCTGTGTCGGTCCATCTCACTGGGTGTTTGCCTTGTTTTCGCTGAACCTCTACTGTACCAAGCATGATGTCCTTCTCCAAAACACTTCAAGTAGGTGTGGTGCGTCAGATTTGTAGAGAATTCTAGAACGATTTTTACTTGTGCTTTCCTCACTATGCAACCATAACAAACCGTGGATAACATTGTAAAGAATGGGTATTCCAAAACACTTAATTGTGCTCTTGAGGAATCTGTACCTAGACCTAGAGGCAGCTGTTAGAACAAGGAGATACGGAATGGTATTAAAGTTGTGTGCTCCAGGATTGTATCCTTTTGCCTTACTTAGCCTGTCTGTATGTAGAGCAGATCATCCAAGAAGCTGCATTATATGAAGAAGAACATGGTATCAGGACTGGAGGAAGACTCATTAACAGTCTTTAATATGCAGATGATACAACCTTGCTTGCTTTAAGCAAACAGGACTTAAAATACTTACTGATGAAGATCAAAGACCACAGCCTTCAGTGTGAGTTGCACCTCAATATAAAGAAAACAAAAATCCTCACCACTGGATCAATAAGCAATATCCATATCAATGGAGAAAAGATTGAAGTTGTCAAAGGCTCAACCATCAACACTCTTGGAAATAGCAGTTAAGAAATTAAGTGATGTATTGCCTTGGGCAAATCTGCTGCACAAGAGCTCTTTAAAGTGTTGAAGAGCAAAAATGTTGGTTTGAGGACTAAGGTACACCTGAGCCAAGTCATGATATTTTCAATAACCTCATGTGCATGTGAGAGTTGGACAGTGAAAAAGAAAGACCATAGAAAAATTGGTGCATTAGAGTTATGGTGTTGGAGAAGAATATTATTGAAAGTACCATGGACTGACAAAAACACAAACCAGTCTGTATTGGAAAAAGTACAGTCAGAATGCTCCTTGGAAACCAAGATGGCCAGACTGTGTCTCTCATATTTCAGACTATTTGCCAGAAAGGACCAGTCCCTGGAGAAAGGACATCATGCTTGGTAAAATGGCGGGCCAGTGAACGTGCAAAAGATTTCCAAGGAGATGGATTGACACCGCGGCAGCAGCATTGGGCTCAAATGTAACAATTGTGAGGCTGGTGTAGGACCAAGCAGGGTTTCATTCTGTTGTGCCATGAGGTCGCTGTTAAGTCAGAATCGACTCAACAGCATTTAACAACAACGACGACTCAGATATTATTATTGTTATGAAGTGCCATCGAATCGGTTCTGACCCACAGCGACCCTGTATACGGTTTCCAAGGAACAGCAGATGAGTTTGAACCACCAACTTTGTGATCGAGTTGCTTATCCTACAGTGCCATACTGGGACTCACAAATAAGCTCAAAATAATCAGCATTTATTTCTCATTCGTATAAAAGTCCCAAGTGGGTTTTCCTGGTGGGTAGGGGAGCTGTTCTCTAGTAGGTCACCTGAGGATCCAGGCTGATGGAAGCTCTGGAGCTGGAGGGGGCAGCATGGACTATGTTATTACAATGAGCCATGCCTGAACTGGAGTCAGGCCCCCTCTGCACACAGCCCATTGGCTAGAACTTAGTCACCTGACTGCACCACCCAGGGGAGCCTGGGAAATGTAGTCTGGCTGTGGGAACAGGGATCCCAGCTGGCAACAGGCATTGATGACAGCCAATAAACTCTGCTTTGGAACATGTAGGTTAAAATTCAGCACTGTGGCCACGTTCTTTGAGAATGTTGTTATAGTTCCATCACAAGCAGGTTTTGTTCCGTAACCTTACACCAAACCCACTGCCAGCAGTTGTTCTGACTCATTGTTGTTAAGTGCCATCGAGTCCGATATGACGCATAGTGATCCTGAAATAGGGTTTCCAAGGTGGGTTTGGACTGTTGACCTTCCGGTTAGCAGGCTAGCGCTTATCCTACAATGCCACACCAGAACTCCATTCCGACTCATAGCGACCCTACAAACTGATATGGAGCTATAGGATAAGCACTGGACAGTTAACCTCCAGTTTCTACCACCCGCTCCTCGCCAACCCTACAGAGTCGCTATGAGTTGGAACCAACTCTATGGCACCTCACAACAACAACTTAGGGGTTTCAAGGCTGCAAATCTTTACAGAAGCCGATAACCTCGTCTTTCTCCAGAGGAGCTGCTGGTGGATTTGAACCTCTGATCTTTCAGTTGGCAACTGAGCATTTCAGCCACTGCTCCACCAGGGCTCCTTTGTGTAACCAACATCAGTTAAAAGCCCTCACTGTGTCCTTGTAGGCCGTCTGTTTAGTTGGA